AGCTACGACTGAACTCTTGGAAGGCAGCAGATGTATACTGTAAGCCATTGTCTGTTACCAGTTTACTTGGGATCCCATGTTTTTCGAAGACAGATTTCAGATGTGCAATGACTGCAGGTGACTGGATGCTAGTGAGCTTTTTTACCACAGGAAACTTACTATAGTAGTCAATGACTAACAAGTAGTTGGCATTGTTCCAGTAGAATATATCAGAACCTAAGGTGTGTCATGGCTTCTGCGGCACATCATGAGGCAGCAAAGGTTCCTTGACATTCAACTTCTGGTCACACTGGCATGGGCGCAGCTCTTAACCAGCTCTTCAATATCATGGTTGATGTTTGCCCAGAATACTGATCCCTTTGCCCTGAGCTTGCATTTCTCAGCACCCTGATGGGCATAATGTAGCTGTTTCAGGACATGAGATTGAAGAGACCCAGGGATTACAATACGCGTGCCCTTCAGGATCAGGCCATCAGCTACGTTAAGCTCATCACAATAGTTCCAGTAAGCATGAAGATAGGCAGAGCAGTTAGATCTCTTTTCAGGCCATCCATGCTTAACGATTTCACGCAGGGCTGATAAGGTTGTATCTGTATCAGTTTCTTCTCTTATCTGGGCCACTCTTGTTGGGCTTGCATTAAGATGAAGATGGACCTCGTGTACAGATACATCAGGCCCTCTTACATCTTTACCATAACATGAGCTGATTCTTGAATGAGCGTCAGCAACAGGTATGTCCTTTCCGGGGACATATTTGATTTGTGTGTCGTACTTCTGTATGGGCAGCATCATCCTAGCGATGCGGGGTGGTGCACTTGACAGATACTTTTTGAAGATAGCTTCTAGCGGCTTGTGGTCAGATTCCACAACAACGGGCCGGCCATAGGCATAATAATGGAACTTCTCCAAACCAAACAGGACAGCGAACATTTCCCTCTCAATGTTGGAGTAGCAACTCTCAGTTGTGGTCAACAACTTGCTAGCGCACTCCACTGGACCGTTGGCTTGTAGGAGAACAGCACTTAAACCCCTCAATGAGGCATCCACCTGAATGGTTACGGGCTGGGTACTGTCAAAGTACTGCAATGAGGTAGGGGTCCTGATTGACTTCTTGATGCGGTCTATGGCAGACTGATGTTCAGGACTCCAGACAAATTCACTTGTTTTCTTGGTGAGTGCCCAGAGACTAGCTGCCATGTATGCCAAGTTATGAATGAAACGACTCAGGAAGTGGACCATCCCAAGGAATGTTTGTAGATCTGCAAGGCTGGTTGAGGGGTCCATAGACATTGTGGAGTCAATCTTCCGTGGATCAGGCTGGAGACCTTCAGCACCTATGATATGGCCAAAGAAGGGAATTCGAGTGCACCTGAATTTACATTTGTGCAGGTTGAAGGGAAGACCAGTCTCACGAGCACACTGAAGAACAGCATGAAGGTTTTCATCATGATCGCTAAAATCACTGTTGTAGCCATACACAACAATGTCATCTGCAATTCCAGTGACACATGGTAAGTCACCAAAGGTTTCGTGCACTTTCCTTTGGAAAATGTCCTGGGCACAAACTAGGCCGAAAGGCAGATGTAAAAATCTGTATGTTCCAAACGGTGAATTAAAGGTTGTCAACGGCGAGCTTTCCTGGGTAAGCTTGATATTCCAGTAACCGCGGTGTGCATCAAGAATCGAGAAGCATTTAGCACCATTAAGTTTAGGTAGAACATCCTCTAGTGTAGGTGTAAAGTAGTGTGGGCTCTTGATAGCACAGTTCAGATTTTTAAGGTCCAGGCAAAGCTGCAGTGCACCAGTGCTCTTTACAAGGGAGTTGACCCAGTCAGCAGGCTCAGTAACTTTTGCTTAGATTTCTTGCTCAACCAATGAATCAATTTCCTTCTTCAAGAGCTCCCTGAGGTCCTCTGGAACTCTTTGTGGAGGGTGCACAACTGGAGGAACAGCAGGATCAACTGTAATGTGATATTCGCTCTGAAAGCAACCAACACCTTGAAAGCAATCCTTGAACTGTTTGAGCACCTGCTCTTCAGCAACTGGATCTTGGTCGCAGATAGGTCAAGGTGGAGTGCTTGGCTTGGAAGCCCCTTCGTGGTTTGTGATACTGAAATTCATAGTTACCAGGTTCAAATCTGTGCATGTTGGCAGACCTAATATGGTTGGACCATCAGCATCAACAATATTGAATGGGCATGATTTACAAGAGCCACCATAATCCAGTTCGAGTACACAAGTGCCATGATGACCAACAGCATGTCCACCAAACGCAGTGATGATGGTGCTAGATGGTGTGAAGCTAGTGGGAATGCCACCAGGGTTACAGGATGCATTTGGGAAGAGCGACTTGTACCTACTCAGAAAGATAATGTTTCCCTCAACCTTACACAAGAGCAGTTTCTTACAGTGATCTGAGACCACTTCTACCTTTAGGAAGGCTTGAGTCTCATTCTTGGTGATCTGATTAACTGACAAGGTATGGAAGTATGGCTGATCTGGAACTTGGCTGTCTTCACTTTGATCACGAGCCTGAAGGCTATGGAAATGCTTCTTTCTATCAGATTTCCCTTTTGAAGGTTTAGGAAGCTTTTGACGACCATGCTTAGTCTTCCCCTTTCTGTCAGACTTCGATAAATGACAGACTTTTCTCCAATGGTTCTCTTTTCCGCATGCACCACATTTTGAACCATAAGCAGGACAAAAAGATTGCTCAGAAATTTCGTGCTCGGTACCGCAACATCCACACAAACAAACGGTGGGGCCGTAGGGCCTGATGGGAGGATCACAATTTAGCGTGTCAACGTGACTTGAAGTACGAGGTGAAATTTCTGTAATTTAGTTACTTGTTACCTCTTCAGTCTGGGCGATATCCAGAGCGGTATCAAGCATTAGAGTGGCGTCCTTGTCTAGGGGCTTGGTTTGGGTACACTTGGAATTAGATCCAAAGATAAGAGCATCGATGATATGCTCATCAGGGCTCGTAAATCAACATTCTTCGACCAGAATTCAAATTTTCTTCACAAATGAATCCACTGTCGTGCCAGGTTCTTGTTTCAGGGTTCTGAGCTTGTACCTTGAGAGCTGAAAGTTGCTCATTGGAGATGAGTAGTTCTCAAAGCGAGTCCAGTAGGTATCGAGTTTCTTCTTCTCCACGGCAGATAAGGCCCACATGGAAGGTAATTCGATGCCATCATCACCTGAGCAGATGAGAAGGTAGCTCATTTGTTCTTCCGATTTTTCTTTCAGTGGGCCAGAGAAGTAAAATTCGTATCAAGCTTTAAACTTCTTGAAGGCTTGTGGAGTGTCCTGTGAATGCCAATCCATGGTTGGGATTGGTAAACTTGCGAGTTCTGCCATCTTGGTTCCGACGAGCGTAAAACAGGATTAACTATCGGCCTGGTTTGCTGAAGATACAGTAGCGGTGAGCAGTTGACAAATTGACAACCACTCCTGACGCCATGTTGTAGTTGTTAAGGAAACTAGGAGGCATACGGCCAAGGAAAAACACACACTTCAATCACACAAGCACGATGTAGAAAAAGTCACAAGTTGCATTATCAATACTGCTTATATATACCGGGGGCCTAGGAACTAACAAGCGACCGCAGACCAGAAGCCGAGACAGGTTTCTTAGTGATACTACGACAGTTCATAAAAGGGGCACCAGTTGTAGATTTGTGCTGATTTCGTGTATGGAGAAGATAATGCACCTTCATTTCAGCGGTACTCTATAGCCATTAAATGGAAGAGGACAAAAGGCATCCTAACAATTGTGGCATGCATAATTTGCATTCGATGGTAGTTTGGCTCTGTGGTATGATGGTATGAAAGCATAAAAATAATACCCAAATGCAGTCAGCAGGGTAAAATTAAAAAAGTCATAAAATACTGAAAGTCAAAAACATACTGGCTGGGTAAGTCTGAGAAATTATGAAACAGCCATAATATTCACCTTTTGGTGTAATTTCCAGAGGTGAATATAAGAATTGGACTTTCTGATTGGTTAAAAAAGCTCATCATGTGACGCTTTATTCACCCCACTGGAGCTTGGTGACTAAGTTCGCCATCTTTGCCATCTCAGCAAGTAAACATGGCGGACACTTGCTGAATGAAGTTTTCATTTATTCGAAAGGCATCACTCAACTCAGGATATTAGAAAGGATGGAGAATTTTCAAAGTGACCGCTGTCGCCCTTGGACCAAAAATTTTTCCAAGAACTTGTATTCAAGGCATTTAAGAATCATAAACGCAATGGTTACGTTGATCGATCGATTGACTGACATTTATGTTCCTTCAAACTAAAGATACTCATTTTTAGACGATGATGGCAGCTGTGAATGAAGTCAACAACGATAAAACAAAGGAACCGGATGAATTTATTTTCGTAGTTCTTCGCTCATTTGTTTTACTGCCGAACTCGATGAGTAAATTGATTCACAATCAATGTACATGTAAGCTTATTATTAAAATTATGGCAGCACATGTGTATTACGTCTGTGTTTTATGTTTTAGTCTGTTATTTTTTAGTCCTTTATATTCACCTCTGAAAATTATACTAAAACAATTATTCGCCTCAGGCTCAGTGAACTTTGGTGAATATTCACCTTGATTTCATCTTGGTGAATATTCACCAATGTTCACCTCGCCTTTGGCGAATAATTGTTAATTAAAATACTTCAGAGCAATGGTATCTTTTGGATTATCTTGTTTCATTGTTACAAATTGGACAATTTAGTAATTTAAAAGTTATCTTGCTAGGCCAGTCTCTATGACTTTATATTCTTTCCTTACTTTAGACAATTCATTATTTTGTTTCATAGTTTCCTCCTGATTGTGTCTCTGAATTGTTCCTAAAATCTATGTAGGGGCAATTTCAGGGGAATGAATTACAGTACTAAAAGCAAATTAGCTATAGTTTAACTTAATATTATAACAGTCCATTCCTTGGTTGTCGTTTTAGACTCTGCTTACTCTCTACATGTTTCATTGTGTTACAGGTGAAGTTCAAGATGCAAAGGGTCAGGTGAATTATCTTGTTGTTGGAGCTTGGAATACTGGTCTTGAATTACACTCAGCAGATGGTAAAATGACATGCTTGTGCATTAATTTTTAATTTCCTATTAATTGAGTTTGAATATTCCACTTAATGGAATTAACCCATGTTATGGTACTATGCAAAAGTGGCTCTGGCAAGCAAATTGTGAACCTTTGGCAAAAGTTTTCTGATATTTCACTTGATAGAAACATGGAAAACATGTTTTCTATTTCTTTTAGAACATGCCATGACAAAAAGAGAAAACAGCTTGTTTATTTTGATCATCACCATGGAAATTCTCTTTGTTTGCGCCACTGTTACGTCAACAGCTTGTGCTAGTTCTGTGTTTCTATCGAGTTATAGAAACAAAAGTTTTAGCCAATCAGTGCGCATATTTTCTGTGGGCTATTTTCTAAAATATTGCTAATATTAGAGGATCAGGCTTGTTTAGTACAATGAACTGTGAATTGTTACATGCAGTTAACACATTATGCAAGTGAAAAACTTTTGCTGGACTGGTGCAGGAAGTTTGTTCATAGCCTGAAATGTCAGTCCTTGGATGAAGACTGACATGCATATCAAAGTAGAAATATAGTGTCCACAACCTTGGTATGATTCAACACAAAATAGAATACAGGAGACTGATTACGGAAAGAAGATATTCAGGTATATGTGTTATAATATATATAGAGTGGAACCCCGCCTTATGGCCATCCATTAATACAGCCACCTTGGTATTACAGCCATTTTGTTCTGGCCCAAAGAAAAGCTCAGTGAGTCATTTTTAGTGCAGAGTGCACTATTGGGATAGTTATGGAGGCTGTCTGCTGCTAAGGCGCTATGGTGCTATGGCGTTATGGCCCTCTGGCACTAAGGTGTAAACTTTAATGTTTGTTTAATTAATTAATTTCAATTAATTAATTAGTCTAGAGGCAAGGAGGTTGTGGGGGCGGGGTGGGAAAGGTACATGTGTACTCTATACGTAAAACATGTTCCATCACTGTCAGTTAGGTGTGAATATCACAAAGCTATATANGAACTAAAAGAATAAACTTAACGAGGTTACGTGATAAACAATAGACGATTACATAACACGACGTGAAAAAACTAATTTGCATTTAAAACTGCACAAAAAGGGTACTTCAGCTAATAATCCTGACAAGGCTGACATGTCACTGCCACAGAGACTACAGAATGGGCAATGCAATAAGTTGTAAGAGTAAAGGAGGAGTGAGGACGCGTAACCCTGCAAACTGAATGTGAAAATGTCCTGCTTATTTTCCGTAAAAGGTGATCTGGACCGCTCATTTAACACTTGTTTTAGTGAAAAATATAGAAAACGGTAACTCAAGCTTAACTCAAACTCAACTCAAACTCAACTCAAACTCAACTCAAACTCAACTCAAACTCAACTCAAACTCAACTCAAACTCAACTCAAACTCAACTCAACTCCCAGCTTGGTAGTTATGTTATCTCACACATTGAAGTCTGGCAACTTTTCTCGTTAGTGATGGCATTGAACATTCACGAAAAGGGATTTATTTAAACTCAAAGAAATATATCAGAATATAAGAAAAAGTGAAAAAGATGAAACATTTTGGCTCTCCAAGCTTTTAATTTGGCGCTAAAAATGGGTGTCCCATGTTCGTCAACTCACTCTTTGATCGCTGTCGCCAAGAGGATGATAAGTTGTGTCACTTTGAACAAAATAAGCTGTTCTTCGTCGACTTAAATGTAGAATGCTCTAGTTAAACATTGAAAGTTGATAAAGTAACTTAGCATTGTCTGTATTTTTTGTTGGCTGCAAAAAAAAATACTATTGTCATGTCATTTTGGTAGGACAACTTGGTTTTGACGCCGCTCATACTGCGGGCGTAGCCACTGTATGCAAGGAGTGCTCCCTGAATTTGTGCGACAGAAGGTCCAATTACTAATCAGTTGTATCTATAAAAATGTCTTGTGCGAACTTCTTTAGAGCGGAAACTTCTGTAGCATTTTTCACAAGTTAAAGTCATTTTCATAAGTTCAAGCCATAAAAGCGCATGTAATTGACATGCAAATCACGTAGGTATCCAGTTACAAAAAGTTCAAATTGGATACCTGTAATTAGACACCCGCGTGATCGCGCACCAATTACGTGAGAAAATAATAGGCACGCGGAGAACCAATCACGATCAAGAATTTTGTTATATATACTATTATTATTACTCACTCACTCATGATCATTCAAGAACAAATGAACGGACAATTTTTTTTAACTAATTAGTAACACTGAAGAAAAAGAAATAAAAGCTCTTTGCGCTATCTTGTTTATTATATTAAATTTGTCCATGCATGCCCTCCTGTGTTTGAATTACGGTTTTTCATTTTCCGTTCATATTTGCTGGGAATAACCCACAGAAAATGTAGCTGTTTTCTTCCAACCTCCAATTTTCCAAAACTAATCAGTTGCTGTAAACTAATCTTGATAAGCATTTGCTTGGATTGAATATTAACATAGACCTTTTTCCCCATACGCTAGGTAAACGTGCATTCCAAGTACACTGCAGGTCCTCTCTTACTTGAGGCATGTTTGTGTCCATACTTTCAGTTCACCTATTTTTTTATCTTGGTACTCCTTCACTCTTACTGAATCATCCCTAAAACTGCAACCTCTTCTTCAGGTACAGATTTGTACTCCAGAGGCCATTTCACCCAGTTTATACAAGAAATTAGTTATAGAGCTTTATGGTTTAGTTATGTGTGTCAATGTATTATGAGGATACTATTTGTGTCTTCCTCTGTTTCTATGGGTTAAACGACCACTTGTTCAGTTTTTGCATTCCAATGTCTTGGAAAATTTTTTTTTTACAATAGATAGATGCTTCAGCCAGCGAAAAGCACCGCCTTGAAGAGAAACAGAGAGCAGCCAGAAAACAAAGGGAGTTGTCTGGAGAAGCGTGGACACCAAGGTAGGTTTTGTTACACTTCGTTTTGATTTCCAAAGGAATCCGAGTTTATAGTGGCTGCTGCCACTGAGTTTCAAGTGAGGAGGCAGCCACTATGTCATCAGTCATGTAGAGTGTAGAGTGCCTAATTTTCGGATCTTATTCGATGAGCAACCAATTTACATAAATTTAAGCTCAGTACTGCTAAATTACAATTCGAAACTAGACGCTTTGCTGCGTGTACCCAGGCAGTCGTTATACTGAGAAGCACTAGCTATATTGCAATTGAGCTTATTGTTCTGCATTTGAAGTTGTACGAAATTCAATCGAATCGATGTGCTTAAGCTCTTCTGCTTTTGATTGCATTTCTTGTCATCGATTAATAGCTTATTACACGTTTGCAGGTCTTCAGGGCGTGAAATGAGTCAAGGTCTTTATATCGGCCTATAAACGTTTCAGTCTATTTTCCTCAGCCTTTGTCGTTGTTATTTGCGTTTCCCAAGCAAGCAAGACATTTTGAATTTCCGAGTTATGGCGGTGCGTGACATAGACCTACGAACGCGTTTGTCNGCGCCACTGTTACGTCAACAGCTTGTGCTAGTTCTGTGTTTCTATCGAGTTATAGAAACAAAAGTTTTAGCCAATCAGTGCGCATATTTTCTGTGGGCTATTTTCTAAAATATTGCTAATATTAGAGGATCAGGCTTGTTTAGTACAATGAACTGTGAATTGTTACATGCAGTTAACACATTATGCAAGTGAAAAACTTTTGCTGGACTGGTGCAGGAAGTTTGTTCATAGCCTGAAATGTCAGTCCTTGGATGAAGACTGACATGCATATCAAAGTAGAAATATAGTGTCCACAACCTTGGTATGATTCAACACAAAATAGAATACAGGAGACTGATTACGGAAAGAAGATATTCAGGTATATGTGTTATAATATATATAGAGTGGAACCCCGCCTTATGGCCATCCATTAATACAGCCACCTTGGTATTACAGCCATTTTGTTCTGGCCCAAAGAAAAGCTCAGTGAGTCATTTTTAGTGCAGAGTGCACTATTGGGATAGTTATGGAGGCTGTCTGCTGCTAAGGCGCTATGGTGCTATGGCGTTATGGCCCTATGGCACTAAGGTGTAAACTTTAATGTTTGTTTAATTAATTAATTTCAATTAATTAATTAGTCTAGAGGCAAGGAGGTTGTGGGGGCGGGGTGGGAAAGGTACATGTGTACTCTATACGTAAAACATGTTCCATCACTGTCAGTTAGGTGTGAATATCACAAAGCTATATATTTGTTTCAGTTAACCCCTTGCTCTGCCTGTGGTACCATTCTCTTTAGCACAAAACTAATTTGCTCTAAATGTGTGCGGAGATTAGTTAGCGTTCGTGGCTTCTATATTAGGTGGAGGATACATTGCATATGGAATCACACACAAAAGTTGAGTGGTTTTCCTTATGGTAGAACTCAACATGTAAGACGCATGTGTTCTAGCAGCATTAGTGTTATACACTATCTTTCCATGTGGTATTTTGTGTCATGTCATGTGACCAAGGACGGCAGTTATTTTTTAGGTAGCGCCAATTGTCCCTTTTCATTGCAAAAGTGAAACATTACTGTGGCTGTGTAGCTTTTAGAATTACACAAGGTTCAAATGTGTTGCTTCTCCTTAGTGGCTTGTTTATTTCTTGCCTTAATTGTGTCTGTAAGAGAGACCAAAAAGTTCCCAAGTTAGTGGCTTTAATACTCTGCAAATTGTAAATTTGAGACAGGTAAACCAGTAAAGTGCTCAAATATTGCTGCAGACTCCGTGGCACCTAATGAATGCGTAAATTAAGTTAATCAGTCTCTGAGGAGACTCATTCATATCGGTCAAGTAGCGCTGTTTATCTTCAATACTTTTCATTGGAATGCTTCTCAGCCATCAATATCGTTGTGTGTTAATTTTGAATTGTTTTATTGTTGACAACAAAGGTGGAAACAGAAAAAGAAAGTGGTATTTCGTGACTATCTGATAATTAAATTAGTTCTTGTTCATCGGTGATAAGAAAATGTACATTTTTAGTAAAACAACATCGTTTCTGTTCTGTTTCAATCTTCATCACCACATCAGATATTTGACATTCTTTCATTTATCTCCAAAAAAACAAGCACATCTTCCGTATGTGTTGGAGAAAACAAGGGTTACATATTACATGCTTTTAAAAGGAAAACAAAAGTATCAAGTTACAAAGTTGGCGTGAAGAGCTAAATTGTCACATTTACTGCTTCAATGTATTATTGAATTTAAAATGAACGAAAATCAAGGTAAAACACCAATAGTAATTTGTACGTAATTTTTGGACCTTGAATGAAAATGCAACCTTGATACACACACACTGCTGAGGGGAAAAGCACTAGCAGACTACCAAGGTAGACAGAAACCGGAAGTGAACCGAGCACGGGTGAGTACTTATGGGACTACCGTGCCAGAGCTATCAATTGCACTCTGCACTATCTGAGATTGTCTCACTAGTCTTATTTAAAGGACCCCTTTAATACAGCCACCCTGTTAATACAGCAAGATTTTTGTGGCCTGTTGGTGACCAGATTAACAGGGCTCCACTGTAATTCAAACGCTGTAAACAAACCAGCACATTGCATACGTGAATTCATGTGACCCAAACACAGCTGTTCTTGTTGTCATTGGACCACCACTGTTTTTCATTTAAATGTTTTTGTTTTTGATAAAAGAAGGAAACAAATATATTCTAAGGCAAGCCAACTTTAGAAACAGGCCGGCAATGCGAACAGTGTCTAGTGCAGGATTGATACTGTGAATTGATAGTTTACATGCAGATATTGTTATGCCCTGAGAACTTTCTTGTGATGGTGGGTTCTAAACATAGGTTTGTATTTTGTTATTATTTATTCCTATTGTTGGGTTGAAAAGCTTTAAAAGTATTGTTAAGTGTTGTTTGCCCCATGCAGACATAAGAAATGGTTTTATTAACAACAGCTCAAGGTCATTGAAAAATAATTGTGTATGCAAAGTGTAGTATCAGGTGCTTTTATACTTTGTTGCTTTTTTATTTCGTTGTTATTTTCCCTTGCCCTCACTAATGTTTCCTGGTTGCCATAGCATGAATATGTCCCAAAATGAACTAACATATATCATACATATGGAAACAGTTATGTCAGAAAAAATGGCAAAGTACTAGCATTAGGAAACATTTCTGACTGATTCTACAGAGTGGAATACCAGCAACAAGGTTCGCCTCACATTCACATGCTTATATAGCTAGAAAATGCACCAGTATTTTTATTTCGTAATTTCCTAATGATGGTTTGTAGTGTTTTGAACTTCCGGGATCAGTGGACATGCAGATGTATGGAGACCCGTACATTGCGCAGAAGGGTTAATCTGTTAATCTGTCAGCCCTATTTATAGAGTTTTCACGTGACGTCATCAAATCCAAAACTAAAGAGCCACCAAAGTGTTTATCCTCATCAGGCATAAGAGGTACTAAAGTTCTATCTGTTTACAACTTTCCAGCTCAATAGTGCCCTTCATTTGGAAACCAGGGCATTTTGAATTTCAAAGTTTAATGGCGGTGCATGACATAAAGCTACGATCATGTTTGTTGAAAAATATGTATTTATCTCATGATTTTTAGCCATTTAAGACATTGTCATATTTGGAAAAGTGCTTTTTCAAGTGTTTATTTGTTCAGTGCAGATAATCATTGCCCCAGATAACCAAAGTAAGTTACACATGTGTTAACACTATTTTCCGGCCACCATATTGGTGTACCAGAAAGGAACACCTACATAGTGGCTCCATACTAGGCTCTGTAATTTGCGCAGAACATTTCGACGAATATCTCAACTTTGGGACAACACACACACCTTAAACTTGGAGAACTGTCTTCTTTATTTGTCTTCAGTAATATCACAATTTCTTGACCTTTCTTGACCTCTTGACCATTTTTTTTGAGCTGATACATTGTGTGAAATTAACATTTTGCTGTTTTCTAAGTGAAATCAACATCCTTGCCGTCACTCGTCAATGTGAAATCAACATTTTAACCTATTTAGACCTGAAATCAACATTGTTGAGCTTATGTGCTGCTTGAAATTAACATTTTGCTGGTTTCTAGGTGAAAGGAACTTTCCTGTAGTGGAATGTTTCACGCACGAGCGTGAAATCAACATTTTTGAGCTTATGTGTAGTGTGAAAGTGACATTTTGCTGGTTTCTAAGTGAAATCAACATCCTTGCCATCATGCATCAAGGTGAAATCAACATTTTAACCATTTTTGACCTGAAATCAACAAAATTGAGCTCATATGTTGCGTGAAGTCCTTGCAGTTGCAGGTAAATGTGAAATCAACATTTTAACTGTCTTTGACCTGAAATCAACATATCTAGCTTGCGCGCTACGTGAAATTAATATTTTGCTGTAATTTGGGTGAAATTAATATCTTTGCGGTCGTGTGTTAACGAGAAATCAGCATTTAATTGTTTTTGACCTGAAATCAATATTTTTTAAGGTTACACATTGTGAGAAATCAACATTTTGCTGTATTTTAAGTGAAATGAATATCAGTTATTCTTTGTGGTCGCGCGCTGACGTGACGACAAATACAAGTTTTTTGCATACGTAATATCTTGAAAATGATGCAAACTTCAGCAATAACACATTTACGTACGTATTTTGCTCAAAAGTGAATTTTGTCAAGAATGATCCAAATTTCGCATGCAGTTTTGTTTAGGTATGTTTAGCAATGTCCTGTAGTTTTTCCGCTAAAGTTTGCTTTGTTTTCGAGATATTGCGCATGCAAAAAACACTTGGTTTTTCCTAGCAGCGTCTTTATATTATACAGAGTACATGACACTGTCTATTTGGACTTATGGCTCAAAGGCATTGCCAATTTCTTCAAATCGCTCCTCAGGAGGAAGAGCTGATGCACCCTTTTAATACTACAACAGCAACTCCTGCTTTCACCCATCTTAGGTTTTGTAGGATTATATAGCAGTGTAGTAAAATGTGTGTGGTTTATTCTGACGAAAACATTTTTCACAGGTATTTTTTTTTAAATCACGAAAATTGCAAAACTTAAGTCTCAAACATTTTAAAGTAACAATTAGTTATGAGTTTAAGGTTTGCATTGTTGGGTTTGAAGTAAAACTGGTAAAAACTGGTTGTAGATCTGGTGTAAATTCTTGATTGCCTTGATTTTTTCTAGGAAAATAATAAGTAAGCTTTTTTAAACTTGTTCTACATTTGTTGAGCTAGATTACTGTTATTGTTATCACTGTTTAAGTAATTGAGTTTAAAATAAAACAGCTTAATGTGCTCTTTAAGATCTCGTGTGTATTCTTTCAACATAAATGGAACATTTTTGATGAAAGCATGTGCTTTATAAAAGTTCACTTGCATAAGTTTGCAGTTCACAGCAACGCAGAGAATAGATGCCCTCTGTCTGTAGTCATTCAGCTTTTGTATGAGCCATTTGTGACATCTGGGTATAGTTAATATAGGGGAATGTAACTGTCATGCCTTGTAAACTTGAAACAAAGGAGACAATAATAGTTATGTTGGAAGGTCCACTGCCATGAACAACATTTTGTTTTCTGTCTAACCAAAAATGTTTTAATGGTTTTCTCAGAAGTAAACAGTTATTGTGTTGAACAAAAACTAAGTTCTTTGTTAGGCTTCATAACCATTCCCCTCTATAAACTATGATCTGGGGTACCATGCCTCTGTATTTGTTTTGTGTACATGCGTTAAAAAATGCATCTGTTCAGTTTCAATGGCACATTATTTAGTAAGTTCGTGTATATGCAAATGCTGAACATACTGTTAAGTTTAATTGTGTCTTTCAGATAGTATTATGGACCCCATTGATCTATGGACAGCAAATACCAAGCCACAAGATTCGTCAAGGTACAAGTTCTTATTGCAAGCAGCCCTACACTCTCGTGATTTGAACAGTTTTTGTTCAATAATGCTCTTGCCTAATGGCTCCTGTAATTTTGACGTAATATATCAAACACAAAAGACTGTGTTTCACCATGTTTCCAAACACCGAGAAGAGAGTTGAAAATACAGTGCACAGTGGAGTATTTTTGACGAACTTCGAGGTGTTTGGCAATGTAGTCAAACACTGTCTTGAGTGTTTGATATATCTTCTCAATCGAAACTAAAACTAAGGAGAAAATGGAGAAATAAAATCATAAAAATCTACCAGTGAGGCCAATCACAAAATTGTGCAACTGGAAAATATTGGCTTAAAGTAAAGAAATGGCTTTTTAGCTTCTTGATTTTATGAGGCATTGATAATTTACAGAGTGAAATAATATTTTTGGTGTGTGTTAAATATTTTGCAACTGCTATACAAGACCTGTTTGTTCAAGCATGAGGAAATTGGTGACATGACATCCTTTTGGTCAATTTCAGTAGAAATAATGACCAGACTATAAAGGTTGGCACACACGAAGGGACTAGAACTAGTCCCTGCAACTAGGTGGGGGGACAAGTTCCATTGTGTGAACTGGCCATTTTTACCACAAAATCTGGTCGGAGGGACTAAAATTTAGTCACTGCGACTAGTCCCACAAATTCAAACTGGTTTGAGCTGAATAGGTCACCCTGTAAAAATAAAGATTACTTTACTTTACTTTAAAAGAACCTTGATATCACCTTGGGTTCTGGTTGGTCCATTTCAAATTTGTTAAATTGTGTAGTCATTTGATGGACAAGTTAGGATTATCATGGCAACAGGAGTGTTACACGATAAGTAACACAAGATGCAGAATAATCTACAACCCTTTTTGAGTTATTTTTTTGTAAAAAAAATGCCTCTTAGTCGGCACGTCAGGTATGTTATGGACGGGTCAATGGATGAGTGAGTGAGAGATGTATGTATGTCACACCAATCAGATTGGATCTACTATAAACAGCCAATCAAATT